AATCCTTTCTGGATTACAATCCGCCATCAAAATGATACATTTAATTATTCCAGCTGCTGTGAGAAAAGGCTATAAATGATCGGCCACCTGCAGGATCCTCACATGCGATAGCCTAGTAGCCAGGACAACTTATTTATGTTTACAGAAGTGACGTAATGACGCAGTGCCATGCTCGAATTTCCCGTGAAAACCTACCCGTACCACTGAAATTAGAAAACATTATTATAAGCTGACCCTTGTGAATCGGGCTAAAGTAAGGTGATAGTTTCGAACACTGGCTGGTTATGTACTTGCTCAAATATTGATTTCGGATCATTTACTGCAGCTTTAACTTATCTAAAATATATATTTTTAAATGGAACCGTTTATTGAAGCTTTAGAGAAAATATAAAATAAAATGTTTGCACACTTTGCATATGTGTTTTATCATATTTGATACAACAGGCTTTTAGGGCTCATATATAGTATGATATAGTGAGAATATGGAGCTCATACTCGAGGAGGAAAAAACACCAATGATATCCAATTTGGTGCAGATGTTGTTATTTATATGGCCAAAAAAATAAGTTTGATAGCTTGTAATGTAAATCAATGAGATCTTTATAACAGAATAACAGATTACTTACATAAAATGCCTGTAAATATCAGTTGTCACTCTATATCTCCCAAGAATATGTCTTAGTACGATGATATTTAAATGCTCAGAATTATGATCAAAGCTCTATAGTTTTTTTAATGTGGAGGCAAAACATACCATGCAATGCAATACAATGATGATTATAAACGAACAAATTAACCTTCCTCAAAAGCCTGATGTATCATATTTGATATTCACATTTTAATATAATAAAAAAAAAATGCTTAATCAAGTAGTGCTTAATAAAGTAAACCTACATTGCTGCAGTCCAGTCAATGTTAATTTTGAAATATTCCTACTTTTAATTTGTAAAAATTAGTAAAGATTTCACAGCAAAGGGGCTGAAGACATTTTACTTGCTAAAAAAGTATGAAGTCTTAATCAGACGACACAAGGCATGTAGAAGATTGTGCACAACAGGATTTTCAACAAAGTTTTTTGATCATGTTTGTCATTAAGAGATCTTATAAATTCATATATACAGTAGGCTTTATAGGGTTGAATGTGTCTTCTGCTTATGCAGGAAGCAGCAAGTCTTGAGGAAGCAGGAGATGGACACCATCATGCTCAGACAGAAGCAGCTGGAAGAGACAAACCATCAGCTGTGTGATCGAGCAGGTGATCTCCGCAGGAGCTTGAGGGACCTGGAGCTGTCTGAGGAGATTTTTAATTTTTTTCCCTAAATGTATGTTATAATTTTATTTGAACAATTCTTCTGTGCATATGTTTAATTTTGTTTAATGTTTAACCTTGTAAGATTTAATCAAAATGGACATTTAATCAAAGTGGTTTTCTAATGAAAGCGACAGACTTCTCTCTGGTGATATATGTATCATTTAGTCCGCTTTAACAGCTTAAGCAGTTGTGAGTTGGAAGATGTCAACTATTTTGATTGGCTGTTCTAATTTGCACTGGTATAAATGCAGAATCAAGTATTCCAGATAACGGTGAAATAATCTTTCTTATTGGCATTTCTGTTATTTACATTTATTGTTGCTTTCCCATATCCCAACCAGAGCTATGAGGAAGAGAGGAGAGCGCGCTCAGAGCTGGAGATCCGCTGTCAGAGAGTCACGCTGGAACTTGCTGACACCAAGCAGCTTATTCAGGAAGGAGACTACAAACGAGAGAACTATGACAAAATCAAACGGTGAGTGAAATGTCCTGCATTGTTTTTGTGAGTCCACAAGACCAGGCAACCATGCCATGCACACAGGACACAGTCTCAAAGCTAGCTATATAGAGCTCAAATCATTTTATTAAAATATTATTTTAATGCATTGGCAGCCCTAATTTTAGTATCCCCTGTCCACATGTACACTCCATTCAAAAGATTTTTACATTATTACAAAAACAAAAACAAAAAAAGATCAAATAAATGCAGCCCCGTTGAGCAAAAGAGACTTCTTTCAAAAACATTACAAACGTTCTAATGCTGTGGTTGTGTGTGCATAATTATGAATATAACCTCTCTTACTGTGTCCACAGAGAGAGAGATGGGTATGAAACAGAGGTTAGAGAGTTGAGGAAGAAGTTGGAAATGCTGGACCTCACACACACTGCCCTGACCAAAGAGAGGAATGACTTAAATAAGGAGGTAAGATGACTGACAGACCAGCATATCCATTAGGCCATGTTTAAAGGGGTCATATGATGTTGCTAAAAAGAACATTATTTTGTGTATTTGGTGTAATGAAATGTTTATGCGGTTTAAAGTTAAAAAAACACATTATTTTCCACATACTGTACATTATTGTTTCTCCTCTATGCCCCGCCTTTCTGAAACGCGTC